TACTACCTATTTTATATGTGACCCAGCGGGCTCCTTGCCTGATCTCGAGTCTTTCCGGCCCCTAGAGGGTACTCGCAGCGGATTTTATCAGGTAGTTGTCAAACTAACGAACTAAGAAGGTCGCTTCTTAAGGTCTGTCCTTTAGGAGGTCGAATTATAATAGTTACATATAGTTGCATTTCCACTGCGTTAAAAAAGGCATATACTATTTCATATTTGGATTAAGTTATTATTACTCCTGTTTACCATAATAAAAAAAATACTTTTTTTAACTTAAGATATTCTTCGATAACAGTGTTTACCTGTAATTGTTTGTTACACACGCGCATGTGATGTATCTTTTTACTTTTGTATGTAAGTTTATTGTGTAATCGAATGTCGATAAATCATGTAATAAAAAATAAAATAATAATAATCTAGCCGACGGACAAACAAAAATTTGTCACCTCTATTATTTTTCGTCGACACACGTTTTGACGTTTTCAGGACCGCCTAATGTATTTACACTGGTCGCTAACATTCGTGTAAAGCGTGCAGGCGATTTCTGTTCCCTGTTTTGATTGGACAGCCATTGTTTAATTGACCAATCAGATGAACGCGCAGAGGTCATCTGCATTCAGGGTGCAAAGTGGTAAGTGTAAATTTTACATTAACGCGTTCACTAGTGAGTGCGTTAAGATTTGTATGGAGATATGTGGTTCTCGGTAGTAACCGCTAAAAGCGCTGTACCAGATTCCATGCTAAAATCTAACGCGCTCACATTTGACGGTAAACGTTAAGAAAGTTACACTAGATCCTATCGACCAGTGCAAATGAGATATAATTTAAACTAAAACCAAGACGATCATTATAAGAATGGTTTATTATTTTTATATAGCATTATGTTTATAGTAAATTAATAATAAATTATACATTCTTTATTGTATACAATATTACCTTCATCATAGATTTTGTTTATTTTTAGGTTTCTGAATTTAATTACTAACTTAAGTGTGTTTAAAAACTCGAATTACTAATTAAGACATTAAAAAGTTATACGAAAAGCAAAAAATATAAATTGTTGACGACAGCTATTCCAGTCTCTTTCGATAAGTGTTTTTTTTTTAATTTTCCTAATTTTTTTTTCCTCACTCTCTGTCTCTTACTCATATTGTCTGTCTTGTGTTGTGTCCATAAAGTGTTTTAGACGCATATATTTCTTTACTAATTTCTAATCTTTAATTAAATACTAATACAACGTATAATTAGTACAACCTAGCTAGTAAAAAGTAGTCAAATTTTTTGTTAGATATAATATATCTAACATATAATATTAAGATTGAAGTTTTAAATTCTGTTTTTCTCGTTTTAAATATTAACTAAAAATAGCATCACAAGGTATAAGTTTTCTATCTAGTTATTATAAAATTATATACGCCATTTGCATAACAAAACTAATATCACGGTAACTCTTTGCCTTTAGGTGATTTGAGAACACAAAAATGTGGAGTTAGAGTTGCATAAACCAACGATTTGGCTAATCCTATTAATGTTTTTGATGAAATTTGGTATACAGATAGGGTATTAGCTGACTTAGATAATACACTGGACCGCAAAGAAAACGGGTCGGTTAGAAAATCTTCAATAACTTGAAAACTACCTCACCTAGCTTTATGAAATAAAAACTCAATTAAAGAATATTTAATGTTATTTAACATAGTATATAAAACCTTTTTATTTACTTTAGATAATTGTGTAAGAAAACTGGCAATGAAGATAATGGTTGTTTTTCAATTTAGTTCTAAAAAAATCAAAGCATTTGTTTCGCATTTGTTTTAGTTTTGACATAAAAACTACAATAAATATCGTGTGTTTGTCATACAAAAATTGTATTCTGAAGTCATCATGTCGTTAACCCCTGAAGAATGCACCAGGATCCTGACAATGCTTGAAGATGGGCGCAGTCAGCGCAATACAGCGAGAACTGTTGGTGTGAGTCTTTCCACAGTTCAGCGGGTACTCCAGCGTTTCCATGAAACTGGATCCAACCTAAGAAGACCAGGAACAGGCCGAACGAGGTGCACGACTGCGCGGGAGGATCGCTATATGGTGTCAACAATTTTGAGAAATCGATTTCTTACGGCCGTGGAGGTAAAAAATCACCATTTACGAGCTGGAGGAAACTATCTGAGTACAGATACAGTAAGGCGACGTCTCGCTGAAGCAAATTTGAGACCATTAAGGCCTGCAAATGGCTCAAAATTAGAAAGACACCACTTAAACTCAAGGCTGAGTTATAGCAGAGAACACGAAACTTGGACTCTGGATGACTGGTCAAGAGTTATGTTTTCAGACGAGTCTAGATTCTGTTTATACAAGCACGATGGGAGGAAAAGAGTGTACCGAAGACCGGGAGAGCGCTATAACCAAGCTTGTATAGAAGAAAAAGTACCATCTATACACGTGTGGGCTGGGATTTCTTCCGAAAGCCGTACTGAGCTAGTAGTGATAGAAAATGGCAGTTTAACAGCAGAACGATATGTGAATGAAATTCTTAATGACTATGTTGGTCCATTTTTAGTAGATATGGGCGAAAATGCTGTTTTTATGCAAGACAACGCCCGCCCGCATACAGCTCAGATAGTGTTCGACTATTTTCACGAAGTAGGTATCACATGCATGGAGTGGCCAGCACGAAGCCCCGACTTAAACCCCATCGAACATGCATGGGACGAACTGGGACGACGTGTACGTCAACGGAATCCGCCGCCAATCACGCTGCGTGAATTGAAAGGAGCTTTGCTCGAGGAATGGCAGAACATTCCGCAGCATCGCCTTAAAAACCTTGTGGAAGGTATGCCGAATCGCATAGCCACAGTTTTGCAAGCTCGTGGAGGCAACACGAAATACTAACATGCGTAAAAACGTCACATCTTTATACAATTCATATTTACGAAAATGTCAGAAAAACTACCTTTTTCATTCGTTTGACATTTATTGAAAATAGACAACTTTTAATTTGTATTTTTTTATATTCAATAAATTACAATTAAATAATCTTTAATTTAGTTTTTATTTCATAAAAATAAGTTAAGTAGTTTTCAAGATATTGACGATTTTCTAACCGACCCGTTTTCTTTGCGGTCCAGTGTAGGATAATTTTTATCCCACCAAGCATTTCCCTAGGGTCCACGCGGGCGAAGCCGCTGGCGAAAGCTAGTCAATAATAATGTTGATCTTAGGCCAAAATTATGCTTAAGTTTTATTCCTTCTAAGATGTTTTCACGATTAGGTATGTCATGTCTGTTATGTCAAATAAGTAAGTTTCATAGCTTAAGATACTGCAAGATAGAGAAAACCGTTAAGTAATACGTCCGTACTACATATTCTCTGTAAACAATTCGATTCCACCCATAGGGAAGGTGATGACATGTGTGATACTCTTTCGCATAACCACCACGCTCAACAGGCATTATTCCTATATTAATAAAATATACACGGGTTGTACATAATTATAAGTATAACAATAAAACTTTTTCGTTGTGGGTTACGATGTAAATAAAACATCGTTGTGGTACTGCCATAGAGCTTCCTATGTCGACGTATCAACCACCAGACGATTTTTATCAAGCAGAAATAGTTAAGATTCTGTTTAACTAAAAAAAAATATACGGTAATTATACTTTCTGTTGCTTATGTATCACATGACTACATACCTATTGATACTGCTTAATTGGTTTTAAAGAGACTGCCTACGGCTTCTATCCGCAATTTTCAGGCGTGGGACTTTGCCTAGAGTACTTTACATGCAGCTGCCTTATGGACCATTTACACGAGACCCATAGAAAACAGCACTCGGCAAACCAGTTCAGTAAAATTAAAAACCGTTCTATTTCATTGGACTGGCTTCAGTATTATCTCCATTATAGACGAGTCCAATATAAGCCTGGCTTATTGTACTGTCTGGCTATTGGCGTCGTGTAAATGGTCCGTTAGTCGCGATACTGTTGGTATGTACCATACATAGGACAGGGCAGACTCGTATTTGTCATGTTTGGGTCATCCACTTACAATGTAGAGGGAGAATTAGACATATGATAGATCAAGCACTACGGTAGCGCGACTAAAGCACCTTTTACTGAAAGCACACCAGATTTTTAGACGCCTTTCACAGGCCGGCAAGTTAGTGATGGCACGTGGGAACAATTTCGACTTCTCACAGCTGTTACTATAATTGGACTCTAATATTACTTTGCAGTCACTTTGTCGTGCCACAATAAAAAAAAAGAATAATGCACTTTAATTGAATGTTAAATAGATTAGAATTTTGATTGTACAATAAACGATTAGTAAAAAATAGAAATAACTGTTTTCCTTTATTTTATAATTCGTTTTGAGAAATACCTCTTTTTTAACTGTTGCACTGGGGACATACTCTGTTTTTATAAAAACGATCTTTCAGATAGTTTCGAAACGATCTTATTCTTGTAAGATGTTCATTACTTATGCTATTATTTTGATGTTCGGGAACCGTTCAATATCAACGTAAAATACCAACGATTGATTCACAATGATTATAAGATAAAATCTGGAGTCGTAATAGTTTTACTAAATTTATTTCTAAGCGAAACGGAAAAGGTTTTCTGTTTGTGATCAGTTAATATTTTTGTATTTCATTGATGAAATATTTTACGTACATTGTATCCTTTGAAGAGTAAGTGACTTTAAAATATATTGTATCCATGTCATTTTCTTTTCAAAATGAAATATTGAATGTAATATGGAATAGCTATTTCTGGTTCAGCTATTATTATACTAAAAAAATAGTCCATTACAAATGTGGTAAGCCCAATCTGGCTTTGAAACAAAATTTTTCAGATGTCACACGTATGGTAAATTAAAATTTCCGAAAGCAGATGGTTGGGGGCGACGACATTTTAGATAAAGACACATGAATAAACTTAAAAAATTATCGAAATCAAAATATCTTTAAATAAAACATCGATGGAGTTAAATAAAAATCGTATTGTGTGCAAGGTACTTTTACCATGATTTATTACATAAAACACCGATCGAGAAACGTATCAGCGGCATGTAAGCGGCTTCCTATAGCCGTGAGGTCGCTAGACTGCCAGCGTTATCATTAAGTACCTACTGCGTACTCCACAACTAACTAGCGACGCCCCCAGCCCCCCGCCCATGGCGCAAAAGTATAAAAAAAACTAATCATGATTACAACAATTCACGTTTATTTCAATCCATAGAACCGTTTAAAGTCAAACAAAATACTACTCGTACATCGAAATCATTATGGTTTTATGTTGTTGCAACGCTAAGGTAATAAATAAATAAAGAAAGGGAGGGGTGCAGGAGCGGGGGTGCGGGGAGGGGGGGGAGGGCCGGAGTGGGCGAGGTTACAGGGGCGCGGGGCCCAGGCACGCGGTACGCGGTTGTAGCACTTTCCCTGCGTTGCCACGGGCCCCGGCCGGCCCAATAGATACATTTAACATAGGTAGGTATACATAAACCACTTGTTCTTACATACGATTCCTTCCTATCACTTAATATATTCATTACATTAATATACCCATGTTACAACTTTCGGTGAAACTATTTATATAATTAATACAATACATAATAATGAGTAATTCAAAGTAGGCATGTATATTGTTTAACAAACAAGATGGAATATCAAACGCCGCCATACGTGGCAGTAAACATTAAGTTTTTAATACATATAATATCATTTGATATGAAACAGTGCATTTCAAAGTTAACCTTCACACCTTTGTAGAATCCCTCACATGTAAACCTTTATAGAAAAAACATTTTATTGTTCTCGCTTTGTATCCATAAAATACTTTCAAATGCAACAACTTCTTAGTCTTAGTTTATAAACATTAATTTTTCTTCAATTCAATAAACATTCAATTGACTCATTTATCAACGACAAAAACCTACAAAAATATATTATAACAATAGCACGAGTCAAATAGAGTGCGGGAGAAACGTCCAGAGACGCGAGGAGCGGCAAGGAAGCGCACGGGGTCCGACGGACAACCTCGGGCCCCGGCCTCCCCCACTGCGGACACTGGGAGGGGGCGAAGGGATGGATGCTCAGCGGCGCGAAGCGCCTGATTATATCTATATGCCCTTATCGACACAATACGCAAGTCTCTTTAAAACTAAAAAAAAATAATATAAACTTTCAAAAACGTTAACAACTACAGCCATAACAAAAATAGACTAATAACGACTACACTACAGAAACTACAACTACTTAAACTATTTACTAAGTAAATTTGAAACGAAACTAGTGTTCGCTCACTACAGAAATGACAGAGGGTACGTACGGAGTAAGGGTGCGCGGGCGCCCCATTTCTCCCGTTAGGATCTAATCTCATACGGAGCAGTCCTACGAAGCGAGCTACAGTGAGGGACGTCGAGCGGCGCCGGCGCCGGGCGGACGGACGGGCCCGGACGGCCCAGGCCGGCTCGAGGCCTTATTAAACCTATCTATATACAGAGGCAGCCACTACATAGTTGCGCATGCGTACGCGAGCCACTTGAGCAATCTTGCGTGGTGCGGCGGCGGGGCGAGTCCCCGGCGCCGGCTCAATATAAATATTCAACAACATTAACTTATTAAAATAAACCGCACTCGGTCGGACAACGCCGTGGCACGACGTCGCGGCCGCGCTCGGGACGGGACACGACATATCTCTTCGATAATAAATAATTTGCAAACAATTTTGGTCCGTACGTCGTTGACTAACCCTGTTGAGTGTCGAACTGTTGTCCGATGAAGGCATTAGAAACGACGAAAGATCTGAGTCCAAGCGGAACTTTGGTTAAAGATTTATCTATTAAACTAAGTCCATAAACTTACGGTAACTGCATTATTAAAATAAATCTACAGAAGTAAAACATAACACAAGTGATATATATATATATATATATATATATATATATATATATATATATATATATATATAGATGGTGATTTAGTATGAAACTAAAAGGCTAACAAAATAGTGATTTCACAGTCATTTTTAACTCGTACATTACTCTCACTTTTACATTTAGATCAATATTTAGTTAACATATATTCGAATTGACCAAATTTTACAAAACTCGTTGATGAAAATCAAGAAAACAGAAAACTTTCAACTTCGTAACAGAAATGCATAGAACTGAATAATAGCTATTGAACATGTTATGCCTAAGAATTTCGTATGAAGTACAAAGATAAATGTATGTTTTATGAAACAAAGAGTTAAATCGAATGATAAAATAGAGAAAAGAGTGTCCAGAGCCGGTGCGGCGGCGGGCGGGGCTCGGGGCCCGGTGCGGGGCCCGGCGGCCGCGCACACGTGTCATGTGCCGTGTTTGTGCTATGCGGGGGGAGGAGGTGGGGTGTACCGCCTATACATCCGCGTACTTGGACAGCTTCTCACGCAAGATGTGATTCTCTTTCTTCAACAACTCAACTTCTTGCCGCAGACCCATGTTCTGAAAATATTATATTATTGGTAAGAAAAAACGTATTGATAAAAAGAAAAGGTATTTTTTTTCTATACTAACCTTTACGCAATAAAAACGAATGTAAAAATTTATTATTATTCAAATATTATATTTTTATTGGAATAAAACTAAACTTGTACATTAAATTTTAGCTATATACAAATTATACATTACAAAACAAGTGTGACTCTTAGTTCATTGATTATGCCTAGTTGTCCAATATAATTATTGAACTAAGAGCACGCCAGCATTTACCTCTTTCTCGAGGTAGCCAGCGCGGAGGGCGATCTGGTTCTCCTTCATGCGGCGCGCATCACGTGACCGCTTGGCTGCCATGTTGTTCTTCCGTCTGCGTGCCCAGTACTTGTCATCTTTGAGGTCGTCGGGCACGAACTGCCGACGACGTCGATATGGGGTTAGCACGTCGCGCCATACACTCAAACCACCCTTCACCCACCAGTGGAACACAACAGGCATGTTACCGCGCAGACCCGAAACAGAATAACAACTTTTTCCCAAGACGCCCTGAGCTCAGCGCTGGCAACCATTTAAAGTATTTTTTTTTATAATAGAATCAAAATATATCTTGTTATTAGTATAATAACAATGAAATTTTAAGGTAGGGCTTCTGTTGTTATTAAGTCTTGTTATGCGCGGTTAACTAGATATTTGCAGTAAGTACTGATTCTTTTGTAGGTTTTTATTTGCCTTATATTTCCACGGATAATTGAAAAGTCATTTTAAAAGTACCCATTATACAGTGCAGTTCTACACTATTTACATTTATTAATCAAGTGCAACTACTAAATAGAAAACAAAGCATAATTTAAAAAATACATACAGGAGTCTGTTCACTCACTCATTGTATAATATATATGTAAAATAACTAGCTTTCCGCCAAACGGATTCGCCCGCGTGGCTTACACGATAAATTGATATTACATTTATCCCTAGGGAACCGTGCAGTGGAATAAAATAAGCCTATATGTTAATTCAGGATTATAGTTATCTGTATACCAAACATCAAAATAATTCATAAGACTGAATTATTCTTCAGAAGTAATGATATTATAAATCCAATTGTGTAAGGATGTATGGTTCTACCTTTTTAATTAGTAAACGGATTTTGATGTTTCGTGTACGGATAACTATAAGCCTGAATTAACATAAAGGCTCCTTTTCATCCCATTAAACGGTATTTTGGAACCATGTTGTATTCCGGTGAAAAAACTCTACTCTGAACATTTGCGTACGCAAAAATCGCTTAATCTATCACGTGAACAGAGTCGTCATATGAACATATAAAATAAATAATTGGCCTCTACCAACTAACAGAAGGTATAAAAGATAAAGATTTTAAGTTTTATGGCAATTGCGGAAAATAATCTACCCGTTCTTGTGTTTATATTTTTTGATAAATAAAAAAATCAGTATAGCATTGTGAATGCAAAATTGATCAAATACAATAAAAAAAATATTTGTTTCATAGAGGCATTAAAATAGAATAGAAAATACGCAAAGTTGCTTATCATAGCGTAAGGGACGATTAAAAAGAAAGAAAGAAAATCGCGTTACCTTGACTCTCACTCTCTAATGACGCATTCATAACCAGTAAAAGAAAGCTGTTAAACATAGATGAGATATGCGGGAGTAGAGAGAGACAGATAAAACACCGCTATCTCCTTTCTCTTTCTGATCAAGAAACAGCTAGAACAGCCTTTCCAAGTCTTTCACAATAGCATTGAGAGCGCTAAAAGGGTACAGTACCCTGAAAAAAAGTTGGGATGTTGTGTAGAGGTTTAGGTGTCAAGTTACTTGTTGCGGATTATAAAAGTTTCGCTTATAAAGAATGTTTAATATCCACTACAGCTCATAAAAAATAATTTAATTTAAAGTTTTTTTTTAAATAAGTGAAAAAATGGGGGCCGTAAAAAAATATTCTCAAAATTGCAGTAGACGAAATAAATAACTAAAACCCCTGAACCACTGAGCTAGAGGCTTTTGAGCTAATTGTCTTAATTCAAATATATCGCAATCTTTAAAAAAAAATAGCGATTATGATTGCGGAATTTATTGAATTATGTAACGTTGAAAGTTCCAATAGTTTTTCGAATGATAATTTGAAGGATCCTGAAACCTAGTAAAAACTTAGCTAAACCAGTTGGCATTCAACTCTTTCGTTTGACATATCTCAATATCTTCCAAAGATATTTGCGTCTAACGCTTGCCTTGGCCAATTCCAACATCAAATCAAGGATATCGTTCCTCGCTATAAAAAAGACTTCTCGATGAAATCACTGTCTTGTGTCAAATAGTTTTAACGTGAAGTTCATGAATATCTTTCAAATGTAAATTTAAAAATTTAACCCTATGGTTTCCCTTCTCTATTTACCTCTATGATTTTTGTTTTTGTGTTAATGTATTATGTAAATGTATTTAATATTAACAATAAAAACGTGTAAATGAAAGCAATAAGTTATGAGATTGTTCTATTTCCTAGTTTACAAAAACATCACTGGCATATTGTTTATTGTTCTTTAAAATTTGTAATTTATAGCTATACGATATTAGTTTATTATTATAAAATTGTAGCGTAGAAATTCCTTTATATAATATTAAATTAATAAGTTCTGACAGAGACTATCAGTATTTTATTTAAAAATATCAATATAACGAAAAATTGAGGATTTAATATAATTGATTAATTTTGCATTCACATTTTTATATTATTTAAAAAAAATATATGTATATAGTATCAAAGTGTTTGATTAGAGGTTTGTAAAATTAGTTTAAACTATCTGATTATTTTTGGTAAATGTCCCCTGGCTAGATCGATTTAAAGACCCCGATGTATCCTACGTACTAAATAACGTGAAAATCGTTGGAGAAATTTCGGAGATTCTGATTATATATACATATTGTTCGTTTAAATAATTTTCTCTTCTTTAAATAAACATTAGATTCAAAATTACTTTATACAGGGCTAAAACGTTATGAGCGCAGTTATTATTAGATATTACATGAATATAATATCAGTATTTTCTCATCGCATAATCTTGAGCTGTCTATCACACTCATACACTTGTCGGGAGAAGAGAACTTAAGCAAATATTTTTAAACAAAAGATTCGAATTAGAATAAAGTAAGAATTGTTACAAAATAATATAAACAGTTTTTACTTGATTCAAATTCTTGTTTATTTGGTAAAAATATCTGAAAATATAAATAAGAAATCAGTTAACATAATTGCTTATATTATGACATATTATCAAATAATTACTTATCTCAACTATAGATACAAAGGTACGACAACCCACTAGAACAACATTTTATTTTTTAATTTTGCACCCACGTTTGAACCCTGCATTATCATACAGTATCAGTATAATTGCATGCATCCATTTGCTCGTTAATTCTTAAGTTAATTATGTGGTTAGTTGTGATGACGAAGCATTACTAAGCTGTTAGCGTTAGTATAAAAGTAACTGTTAATCCATTAGATTAAGGATGGGATTTATCTGTAGGAAGACGGGAAAAGTCCTACTCTATTTAATCTCACAAGTTCTACGTAAGTTATGTTTAATAATCTGATATATGCACGAATTATGAAGTATTGTTTGTAATATTTTTGCAAAATAGTATGGTCCTGATATGTATTCTATCAAAGATGGCGCAAAACCATTTTAAAAATCACTCGAATGTTGTCTCAGAGTTTAAGGCATCATGACATGTTTGTTTCTCTCTCCTTAGTCTACAAACATAGTAAAAAACTTATCGTATTATTTTGTTAACAATTATATTAACTGAAAATTATTTTAATACCCGCAGCAATAAATTGTGTTATATTATGTTATATCAATTTTATATTTTTTAGTTCATAATCTCGCTCTGGAAAAGCATGGACACAAAACTTTAAATATATATATAGGTACTGAAATTATTATAGTGAAATCATTTTTCATTATGTAGCCTTTAGTCGAAACTACATTGATCATATAAAAATTCATCACTCAACTACGGCATAACAAAATCATTTTATTTGAAAGATTGCTTTATTTTAATCAAATTTAATAAAACGTAAGATTTTATATTTGTTTCAAGTGAAAAATCTTTAAGATTTTCTGTCTGTTCTTTAAATTTATCAGCCGTTTTCTATCCGATTTTCACTTAGGCAATGGACTAAATACCTGTGTCTGGCTGTTTTTTCCATTTTATTATGCCGCGATACTTTCTTTGCATCGCGATTTTAAAAATAGAAGGTATATCGAGGTCGATCTGAAACTTCGATTTTAGAATAGCCTTTTTCCAATTACATTTTTTACATTTCATAAAATAAAGAAAACTAAGTTCAATACTTTTAGTTACTTATTATTAAGAGAAACTTGAAAAAGTTAACATTAAATTTGCGTCTTTTTTTTAGAGTTAAAAGTGATATTTTCTCTTTTCAAGCGTTTTTTCAAAATTAATGAAACTAATTACCTATTCGCCTGTAAGAACTGTTGATCGGTCATTAATTGAGATTATTCGATAACACTAAATCAAATTATACTCTTGGTAAAATTCTTAATAAAGTTGTAATTTAATCGATTATATATGGCAGGATTTCAATGTGCCAACCAACCCCAATTAAGTTCAGTGCTAAAGCTAAGGCCCATCGCTCTTCAGATGAGTTTTCTCTCGAATATGACTCGTACATGCACTAATGTATCACGAACCTTTACTATTTCATATAAGAAATAGTCGTAATTACGCGTATAGATAGCATAGAAAAAATGATATATACTAATGCACGAGTAAAATTCACGAGTGAAGAGCGTGAAGGTCTAGAAAATTGATAGGATGCAAGTAAGGGAGGAATAATGCGTGGCCGCTCCCCGCAGGCGGTAGGCGCATGCCACTAGGAATGATCAGCGCACTAACTTCATTTACCTGTTTCCGGGATTTCTTGATCATGGGTTGAGGCTTGAGCTCCTCGTCGGAGAAGGCGCGAGTCCGAGGATCGAAGTCGCGTCCCGACGACGCCATTGAAAATGCTGAAATCGCATATGATAACATTATGACGCTAGTGTCTTTATAGATTTTAGAAAACGGTTCACTGATAGTGGGTCTTAGATATCAGTCAAGCTAAATAAATATCGAACATTTTACTCGTCAGATTAATTTACTTTTTCAATATTTCATTTTCCAAGAAAAAAGGATGAATCATTTTTGATGAAAAATTTACTTCTGGTTTGAAATAAACGTGTACCATAATATGGATTGGTAATATTCACTGACAAGAATCAACATACCAAACGGATGATCACGGCTTACTTCGTAAGGTTTCTACTGACAGATACCTTTTGCTAGTATATCCTTAAACAACTTCCTAACTAACGACGTGTAAAAATTTCACGACGTTTATTAGAATAATTGTAAAGTTATCTCAATTCATTAATCTATTGATGTTATTAATATAAAAGTAATTCGTATTGAATTTCCGTTATTTAGGCAGATATGACCTTGCTCCACAAGATGTGGTCTACCCTTAAATACTTTTTTCATAACATTTGAATCTGATTTAAACTATCTAGTATAAAGGAATATAAACTTAATTATATTGTGTCGTTACATCCTCGAGATTTATATTCATTACTATGCATGTAGTCCATTTCCAATGCACTGGCATTATGTAACGTCATATAATTATGGTCAAACATTACTTGAAGGAAACTTTGTTAAAAGATTAATCATACCGGCAACATCGGTGTTGCCGGGGTCTTTAGCAACACAAAACTTTATTCCAATTAAATAAAATTGAATTTTCTAGACTACCAAACAACGACTACAGATGATAGAACATGTTACATCCTGTAATTTTGGCAAATCGTAAATGGCAAATAATCTAGGGATAAACGTCAAAAAGAACCCACTTGCAGTTCTTGCCGATTTTGCGAAATTATCGGGTTATACATATATAAAAATCTCGATATTGATAAACGATTGAACCGGTTTTAATCAAAATTAAAAAGCCACAGCAAATCGTGGCTAGATCAGCTAGTAAAATAGGTACAATTTGTAATGAAACTTACTAGAGTCGGCGGGTGATAGCGGCGGGTTGATGGTATCGGGGCTCATGCAGTCGGAGGGTGAAGGTGACCGCTCCCGCTTGGTGACAGGCGCCTGGAGGCCGAGCGCGAGCCCGGCGCCCGTGCCGAACGCCGCACCGCCCAGGTGCGCCCCACCGAGCGCCTCTCCCGGCATTCCATTCTCGGACAGGAACTCGTCTAAGTCCACGTACTGTAACACACCGCTACCATCAGCCACTCAGGGCCCATCACGCTCAGCCAACAGTAAACGCACAGCGGGCATTCGCTCGAGCAAAATTCGCATACGCTTCCAACTTAATCCAAACACATATGTTAAAAGTCTCCATTACCTAACGTGTTAGCTAAACGCACACTCGATAGGTAATAAATACTGACTTCTTGTACCTTGAGATCAGGGTCGTAGGGCAGCGTCTTGTCCCAGAGATTGGGGCCGAGGAAGGCGGCCTGCGCCTCCCATAGCTCGTTGTCATCTTTCTTGTCCTCGAGGGCATCCTTAGCGTTCACCGACTTGCCTGTAACAGGCGGGGCGGTCACTAGGGCTCCCGGGCCAGGTAAACACGCCCGAAGCACCGCTTCACTATGGCGTGTTAACCTGGTACCGGCAAACTTCAAAATAATGGTTAAATGGTCAATATTTTATGTTACCAAACTGTATTTAAATTAATGCAGTCGCTTAGCTTGTTTATATACATAGAAATAGAAATAACGAATGAATTCGCGTTAGCACTGCAATAATAAGTCAAATATACATGTTAATTAAATAATTATACCTTATTATTTAAAATAACATTAAGAATTAACCAACTCTTTACAATCAATATTATATTAATCAAATGAACATATTTCAGCTTAAGACAATTAATTGAAATAAATAATAATACAAGTTACATGTATAAGGAACATAGTTAATTAAATGAAATTAATAAAATAAACAATAAAAAAATCTTTTGAATAAAAAATTTGAAGACAATGTCACAAACTTTTCGGTATCTATAATCGACAGCAACATTCGGCGACAAAATTATTAATTACAGAACAGAAAGTGCTGGGACCCGACAAGATTCTTATAATGTTGTAATGCAAATCAGTTAGATTTTAACGTCTCAAAATAAAATTAATATAGATTCTATTATTCTGCAGAATAAATAATTTACTCTACCTAATAATTAAATAAACAAATAGATATTTACTATGTCTACCTTTTTTGTTAACGCAGGGGAAATTAACTTTATATTTTTTAAATGAGGACTCTTTGGTCACTACTGACCATACATTTTTTAGTATATAATGCGGGAACATAAAGAAGGTATAGCGATGTAGAATTCGGTGTAATCGGCAAAAAGCTAATGTCTATAATTTGTTTTTATTATTTCATGCCGCTATGAATATATCTTAAAAGGTTATGATTTTTATAGGAGGTATCCTTAAAAGTACTAATTTTGAATGGAATAGTATAATATATTATTGGTATCTTCTGTAAATATGTTAAAGAAGCAATATAAAAAGTATCAATCATTTCAGTCACGTAAGTTTGCTGTTAAATTACGTGTTGAATTAATAAAAAAACAAGTGCGACGCTATGTCGTATTCATGTAAACTGACACAGTTGCGTCCGTGGGAACCGCTTGGTTTCCTCATGAAAAACCGAGGGGAGCGGGATGGGGGGAATAGGAAGCATCCGAATCATAGGCGTGGTATCAGGGGGAGGGTAGAGGAAGTGGGATGTGCCCAATACGTAGGCATTGCGATGGAGGAGGGATGTAGGAAACGGGAAGTAACCCAATTGTCGGCGTTACGTGCGCGCAAGCAGCGTTCCGCACGCACTGTCAAGCTGCCGTTGCACAACCTATAATAGGGCTGTCCGAACCATTTGACTGAATAATGTTGACTGGTTTTAGCAGAGAAATATGAATTATCATTAGAAGTCTGATAAATTGTAACTACAATAATTGGTCTATAGTAAAACAGAATTGAATCGTTTCGCGCATACCATAAATTGAATAAATTTAGGACAACTCAACTTTCTTTGTGGGACCATCTTAGATTTAGACAATTGAGTAAAGTCTCAGTAAAAAATTAAATTGTTCATTTTTAAAAATAATGAGTTTCCAATTTGTAAATAACATAATTTATGCAGATTCCTTAACAAATAAATTTTGCTGACATTCTTCCGAGTGAAATAATTGTTGTGGTAATTTTATTACATAATTTGCACCAAGATTGTTTCAGCTTTTTATAGCTTTAACTTCTTCAGTGAAGTGAGTTATCAATACTTTCTATCCATTTATGTGTTTAGGTTTTAATTTTACGTATTTAGTTGTTACCACAAAGAATGTATTAGCCTTTTGGCTTTTGGCAACCTTACATGGGCGATTGACGCACGCGCAGCGTCCGCGGGCGGCAGCGGGCGCGGGTAGGGCGGCTCTCACTTTCATCGGAGAAAGTCCGGACTCTCCAATGACGCCATCGCGCTCAACATTATGCGAGCCGCAACTGCTCGCAAGCGCAAGTGTACTTCCTACTACGGCGAGTTGCAAACTTACAAACTGATGTCATTAATATATTATATATTCAACTATAATATTAGTAGTGAATATAATTCCAGTGGTGAGCAACCAAATTAAAAGCCTGATGGTGTAATTTGTTTATCTTTTATTTATATTTTTTGTTTGCTGGAATTAGGATTTTAAAGCAGAAATTAAGCAACTGACCAACTGGTCTTCGACGATATAAAATTCAAGCTTCTCGTTTGCTTATACATGATGTAGGATCAACCGGTATATTATCGATAGGTCTATTTAAAAAAAAATCATTGTAAAGTTAATAAAGTCTGCAAATAAAAAAATATGATTTTGAGCTTTTTTTAAACATCTAATCTTGATGTACACACTAATAAGCGGTTTTATTTTTCAGTGATATATTTGAATTCAAATGTTGTCTCTATGAATATTTAAAATAAACTAATATTTGACTAGCATACAAATTAAACAATACAATAAAAATATTAGGGTCAAAAAAATATCATTACAGAAGTAAATCATTTCAATCTTATTGCGTTGAAACAAGTTACAAGAGATAAACATTTCAAAAATATAACGTAAAAATAATAAGTATCTCAAAAATTACACTTTTTAATTTCATACCAAAAAACTATCGTAACTTATTAATCTATACACATACATGATTGTAGAAGATTACAACTATGTGAACAATTCGATGAACAATTGTTTTCACGACCATTGAATGCTAACATTAACTGATCCGTTATTCAAATCAATATTAACACATCTATTCCTATTGAAATTTTATACAATAACACTTGGAGCATTATAAAAAATATATATTTTGAATAACAGAGTGACTATTTCAAAGATCTGGTTTGTTCAAAGAACTCGTTTAGAATTATTTCATTTGAAGTTTTAATTTGGCAGAGCCAACACGATTATGGTATTGTCGTCTCTTTCTTATGAATTACTTATATGACCTTCTTAAGTGTGTCTTAAATGAACACGGAACCTGGCAACAATTTATGTGAAAATCCGAACCCAAATTCGAATTCACTCAGGTGTTCGAATTTACTTTAAAAGCATAATCCGCTCGACCTTGAAATGAAGGGATAAGACATAGGAATAGAATATCTGAGATACGTATGAATCAATTGTTTTGATGAAATGAATGAATCAATGAATCAATAATCTTGTTTTGTATTTTTATACAAAAATGAAATCAATTACATTTCTAAACGAATGAAATTAATTCGGACATTTGAGTGAATTCGAATTCGGGTATAGATTTTTTACAGAATGGCTCTGCAGTAAAGGGTTCGAAACTTCATGAAACCAACTGCAAACGAGCTGAAATCGTTTAAAGGTGTCTGATTTAATGAATAGAGCGCGTAAAAATATAACAAAATATAATGTAATTACAAATTTAAAATTAAGTTGTTACCCGCGGCATCAACATATGAACAATCATCAATAATAATTATAAAATTGAAAAGTATTTTTGTTTGAAACCTCGATCACCAGCGATTTTATTATGAAAATTTATGCTTTGCATTAAAACTAATAACGCTGGAAGTATTTTATTCATTTCAATAATGGACAAAGGCTTTTCTTAATGCTAGTGTTAGTTTACCAACTGCAAATTGTTTTTTTTACGATGTAGAGAAAGCGTTCTCTCATTTTACTTTTCCCATTTTTGCTAAAAATATTCACGGCAAGTTTCACTAATTTTAGGTTTGTTTTTAACTTTTGTAGATCGTTAAATTAAATACACTTTCAAATAGTATTTTAGTGAAAAGTTAATCAGGAATAAAATTTCGAAAGTCACCTGAGAAAATTAAAAAAGTTAAAAAGAAAAATCTTTTGCTATGGAAAATATGCATTAAAGCATCTGTTTAATTCTGTATCTTTTACGGCTAATTCTAAATAGGTAACTTCCATTAATAGTTTCACAGTTGCATATTCAAAAATTAAAAAACTATATGTCACATATCAAATTTTGAATTTTCAAAGCAATAAAATAAGATAATTGGATTTAATGAACATATTTATGAAATTGATTGTAATCAAAACAAAATCAAAAGAAACTATTCTAAAAGTGATAATTATGGACTAAAAGTGAATTTAAAAAATTATCTCCATAACAATTACTACTAAATTACAACAACATTATATTTTTTCTTTAAGGTAATCCCTTTTTTATTCGATCAACATAAATTATATTTCATGTATTGGTTTCTGATAAATAATAAAAAATACGCTTTATCAAGCACAGTAACATCTGTCTCAAGACAGGCTCCACACCATGTTTCTCATGCATTCTTCAAGCATTTGACTCGTATCTATAGTCGAGTGGAAATAATTACTTAAGTTATTATAACTTATGCAAATAATCTGTACAAATAAACAAAAATGAAGTAAGAACCTTCAAAAATTTGTATACTATGATTGTTAAATTTTTACTTCATTAATATTTTTGTTGATTTGTTAAAAATATTTACATAAGTTATTACTTTTACTCAAGTAATTACTTCTACTCCCTATAGATATGAGTGTTAGAATCCGATCACTGTTGTAGCGAAATAAGAGAACTTTATCGCGTTAAAATTCCCCCACAAATATATTTTATTATAATATGTCGTGCATACACAGAGTGACATTAAGAAAATTTTTAAATTATAAGATATACGAAATAAAGTATGAATGCGGAAATCGTACACAGACGTTTTGAAAAATAAAACTTTCATTATTTTCTACTTAGATATCGATTGTATAGGCCTTAGCCAATCTTTCATATATTTTAATTTATTTAAGTAGAATTACTTTTACAGTCATTTTACGTCATTTAGCGTCATTTTACATCAAACCTATTGGCTGTGTGTGTACTACTGTCACTATTATTAACACACATATGTAATCAGTGACTAATGAAACCAACTTGGTAAATGCTACCTATATAGCTAATAAGTATAAGATCAGTCCATTCGTTTATGAACGTGTAAATCTTT